CAGGTGGCAGAGGCGGAGCAGAACTGTCACCTCTGGTGCCACCCGCGGCCCTGGCAGTGCCCACGGTGCCACCAGGCCGGGCTGATGTCACAGAGGGTCGGTTCCGTGTGCGGGGCGCCGTGGCCGCGGGTGGTGTGGGGGCAGTGGCAGAGCCCGGGAGGGTTTGGGCCGAAGGGACCTCAGGGATCCCGCTGGAGCAGAGGGAATGTCCCGGATCCGGGGATCCCACCTGGGACCCAGGGATCCCACCTGGGACCCAGGGCACAGCGGGGGCAGTGGGATGAGGGGTCAGAGACACGAGCTGGTGACAGAGGGGACAGCCCTGGGTGGCAGCAGCAGCTCAGGGTGGCACCTCCAGCACCTCCACAGGGATGGCAGCTCCAGCTGTGCCCGTGTTGTTGTCAAGGCAGAACGGGAATGAAGAGAACTCTGATTCTGAAGGCTGTGAGAGTAAAACTACAATTTATTCAAAATACACTGCTCTTTTATACAGAGCTCCACAAGGACCAAATCCATTGGTTCTGAAGTGAAAACAACCCACCACCATTGGTTCAGAGTGCTTGACACACAGTGATAGAACTTAACTATAAAGAATGCAAAAACAAGAGAGATAAAGGATTATTTACATTCTTTCCCAGGCCTTTGCCTGCTAGAAACTCCCAGTTTCTTCCTTTGGCTGAATCTGGGTCCCACATGCCTGGTCCTGTCCCTCTCCAGGGCTTGTCCCAGTCCTGGCACAGCTGAGGCTCTGCTGGGGCAGCCTGGGCTGGAGAAGTTCCTCTGTCACCTCCAGGCTGTGCTGGTTTGGAGCAAAGCCCACAGGAGGAACTCACCCCCCACAAACCCCACGTACCGTGCAGGGGGTTTGCAAGTCAGAGTTGAAATTTGAGGGGAAGGATCCAATAAATGCACGGAATTCAGAAAAATTGGGTTAAAACCACAAAGTCAGGGCACAAGTGACATCCTGTGAGTGGCACAGTCAGGACCAGCAGTGGTGGCAGCGCTGTTGAAGTGGCCCTGCTGGTCTGGTTCTCCTGCAGAGGTCCCGTGGTGGTGGCTGTGTCCCAAATCCCCAAACCTTGAGATGACATCCCCTAAATCCAGGCAGGAATGTCCAGAACCTCCCCCAGGACGAGGAATTTCACAAAGGGGTGAAGGAACCCCATGAGTTATCGGGTATTTCTGGAATCCCTGAAGGTAGTTCTGCTGCACCCTTGAGTTCCTGGTGGCCCATGAGCAGGGATGACCCCTCAGGGTGGGAGTTTTGATCCCAGGAGTCCCTCAGAAGCTGCTGGGGAACCATCAGTTACACCCAGGCTCATCCTCCCCTCATCCCCCCCAAACCAGGAGCCAACCCCACCCTTTTTTCCCGGGATTGTCCCACCCTCGTTGCGCACACAAGACTGGACTGGACTGACAATTAGGATAATTGGGAACAACTCTATTTCAAGAACAAACTGAAGCTCATCTCCAGGGTGGGCGGAAGGGGGATAATGAGCAGGACAGAGCAGACCTGGGCACCGCGGGTGGCTTTGGCACAGCCACGGCTCCAGCAGGGAATGGCTGTGCCCCCCTGCAGCCAGCCCTGGATCTGCTCCCCCTCCTGCTCAATCCAGTTTGTCCCGCAGGAACTCCAGGAACTCCAGCAGATTCGTGAATAACCTCAGCAGGATGGATTTGGGGAATGAAATTGTTATAAACGTCTCCGGTTCTGCTTCTTCATCATCTTCATCATCTTCTGGCTCTGGTTCTGGTATGGGTTCCGGTTCTGGTATCGGTACCGGTATCGGTACCGGATGGGGTCCTGATTCTGGTTCTGGCTCAGGCTCTGGTTCCAGTTCTTCTTCGGGTTCTTCTGGCTCTTCCTCAATGGTGGGGGTGGGTGGCTCCGGCTCGGGCGGTGGAGCCTCCGTATCCGGCGGCACCATTCCCATCTGCACCTGGATCCAGGTGTGGAAGTGCTGGGTGGAGGTGAACACCCCAGGCCGTTTCTCTCCAGCACAGCCCTTGCCCCAGCTGGCCAGTCCCACCAGCCAGAAGTAGTCACCGCCGTTGTCCTTGCACACCAGGGGACCCCCGATGTCCCCCTGCGCCAGGAGAGAGGGGTCAGGGGCTGTGCCGGGGTCACAGCCACACCTCGGGGTTATGGGGACACTGGATGGGGTTCGGGGACAGGGGGACACTGGCACAGGGAGGCACCGAGGGGGAGTGGCAGCCCTGGGACACGGGACAGGGATCCGTGGATGGGAAAGGGAACAGGAGCCCCTGGACAGGGACAGAGACGGGGACAGGGACAGGGGGATGGGGACAGGGACAGGGACAGGGACAGGGACGGGGACGGGGACGGGGACAGGGACATGGGGATGGGGACAGGGACAGGGACATGGGGATGGGGACAGGGACATGGGGATGGGGACGGGCAGGGAGCAGTGACAGGGTGGGACGGGGGTGGCCAGGCTGGGCTGGGCCCGAGGGGATTCAGAGGTGGAAGGGGAAGGGAAGGGCAGCACGGAGGCACAGGAGAGGGATCTGGGAACTGGGGAAGGGCAGGACAGCCCTGGGGACATGGGACAGGACAGGGACACGGGGATGGCGAAGGGACACCCGTCAGTGGTGGGGACACGGGGCTGGGAGGGCACCGGGCCAGGCCCAGAGGGTGCCAAGGCAGGGTTGGGCTCGGGGTCCCTGTGCTGGCTCGGGGTCCCTGTGCTGTCCCGGGGTCCCTGTGCTGGCTCGGGGGTCCCTGTGCCCAGCTCGGGGTCCCTGTGCTGGCTCGGGGTCCCTGTGCCGGCTCGGGGGGTCCCGGGGTCCCTGTGCTGGCTCGGGGGGTCCCGGGGTCCCTGTGCCGGCTCGGGGGGTCCCGGGGTCC